GGTTTCCTACAATGAACTTATTGGTGCATTCCATGACTTCCCATAGTTTGGTATATCTAAATGCAATGTCTTCAAACAGATTTAAACCACAGCTTGTACTTGTGTATAGACGGGAAACACACACTTCCTTTACACGTTCCAGTGCATGCTATTTGTTCGATATCGCGATCGTTTTAGTTTTTCGGTTCTTTTGAACCATATTGCAATATGTTGCAATGTCTTATAACACCTTGTCTTTGAACCGTGTCCAACGTTATGACCCCTGTCACCCTTGATTAGTTTGGTAACATGCAGACTACAAGTCGGTATAAACATGACCGGATGAAAATTACATGCATTTGAATTTAAAAGTTCAAACAAAATTCAAAGTTGAAACATTTTCATTGATGGGTTACAAGATTTGAAGTCATGCAGATCGAGCTTTAGTCAAAATGCACAAACACTTTAATATCAAAGTCGACAAGGAAATTATAGATGTCTTTACTAAGCATTTATAATACCTAAGTGAATCATTTTCTTAAGCCCTTTGGTGCTTTTAAGTTCTACAAATCTTTTGATGACGTTTACTCATTATGTTCAGTAATTATGTTGTCAGCTTCCAGCGTCGGAAAAGATTACATTTGATAAGAAGTTGACCAAGAAACTTCTGCAAAAACGGTAAAGAGAAATATTTTTGTCTTAACTTTTAGAGTCGCAGGTGCGTTAAAAGTCATTTTGAACTGCAATAGTGCAGCTTTCTTCAAAAACAAATTTTAAGCCGATTTTGGGATCGGCATCATTAACATGTATTAAAATTTAATATAAGATGAAATTTATGGTTTAGAATTTTGCATTAGTCTGCCCTTTTATTCCTTAACATTGTTTTTACTTAGGATTGGAGAAAAAGTTCTTACAACACGGATTACGTAATTTTGGTTAATGAGAAAAACAATAATTTTACAGTATTCCCAGCAAGCATATAATCAGAAAATAATATCTTCTTCAAGCTATCTTTGAAACTTTTTTCGAATCATTCTATCATTAGTAATAAGATAAATAGTGTCTGTATATCCTCTCAAACAATGCTTAATCTCTTTCTCTGTGTTAATTACATCCTTTGACAAAGGGTTCGTCCAGTTCAAGAAACAAATCTTGTATAATCCTGTAAAAAGGGGACCAACCACTGAACTCGGTCGTTATCATCAGATCAAACGGGAGCACAAAACCTAAAGCCCAATTGTTCGCACCATAATCGGATGAAAGTGTTATAGTCCGATTTCATCTGTTTGGGCTAATACAATACACAAACTGGACAAACTTGAAGTGAGCATCGGTAACAATAAAGAACACCCACGGTTAGATTTAAACCATTTTTTGTCGGGAATGTTTTTAAATTGTTTAACAAGCGATTTTAAGTGTGATGAGGGACAGTTAAAAGAATTCGTCACGGCCCACAATGAAAAAAGACGATCGCCTTTGGTGAAAACAACCAATTAATGTAAAATTTCCTCATTTACCGTTATGTCAAAATTAAAGTTTGTTTGAAAATATTACGAAAATCCGTCTGAATAGGGTTAGATTCTTTTTATTGATACGATTGGATTTGACTCTGATTTTGTTGATAAAGATTCCAGACTAAGAGATAGTTCATAAAGTAGTAAGTTTACATTTTTTTACATAATTGTTTAATTTGGAATTGAAAAATAACATGGAGGTATTTTTCTCGTATCGTACAGTCATCTTATTCTTCTGTATCTTCTCATCTGCCCGAAATAATTTAAATTGAAAAAAAAGTGTTGTCAATTTTTATCTGTATAGAAAATAAATTAATAATTAATGTAGATATTTTAACCAATTTTGTTACTACAAAACTGATCTGAATGATTATTGAACATGTTGAGTGACACACCGTGTTCAAGATAATTTTTCATAATCAATTCTTTTTTTTTTTTCAAATTTACAAAATTGTTGAAGATCACATTTAAACTGACCATTTAAACACCTGACCATTGAGATTAGTCAGTCCGCATTGTGTCAAGATTCTAAATTTTCAAATTTTACAAACTTGTTTATGAAACGATGCGTGGCCTTTGTCTAGGATTGTGTTCGCAGTGTATTTGCCATAATTGAAATTAAATATGATAATAATTGAAAGTAAATTGAAAATTTCTGTAAAATAATCAGAAGTTATCGCTGTCAATATTTGAAGAACTCTTTAAATTTCCGTCTTACATTATAGTGGTGTGTGTGTTCTGTGATTGTAGCTTTGATTTAGCAAGTAGTTATTATGTATAAAATCGTCAAATAGGAAAATAAATTCCATAGGATTTTAGATTTTAGGTGTGGAAAATCAATGAACTTTGATGTAAGTTAGTTTTTGTATTTTCCATTTTGAAATCAATATGAATTACATTTACTTGCATTCTGATGGGGTTAATCTGTATTTCTGATTGAATTTAGATACTTTTCAAATAATTATTTTTTGGTGATTTTTTTTTATCAAAGACCAACGCCGAATGAGACATTACTTTATATGTTTAATAAATATTACATTGCTCGAGTGCAAACCAAAAAACAAGTCTCTTTTTTTTATGTTTGTCGTTAGTCGTAGCACAACTATAAACACAGATTAACTGAGTTTGTGCAGCGTGCTCTTTTATGCTACTCTTTGATTGGTCTTTTGATATTTCAAATGTTCAATGTTAGGTTTGTGAAAAAAAATATCTGTAATTGATGCATTTCCTTTACATTTAGATTTTTATCTTTACATTCGTCAATTCCACGTCATATGGAAAACTATAATATCTTTATTTTCTTTGTACAGTTGATTAAATTACGTGTCTGCATCTTTGATAATTGGATTTGCACATATTGTGCATGGTTAGTGTTTACAACCAAATGTTCCCTTCAGCAAGGCATGTTTTGACATTACTTGTAAATTAATCCGTCAGTTACATCTGGTTAACGTAGATTAAATACACGTTTTTCATTTCTATAACTGTATTATTTGGGTTTGGTCTCTATGATGTTTCCATATTATTTGATTTGATTTTGCTTTATTGTCAGTCACTTGTCGAAATATACGTCGCTGATCTAATTTTGCCAAAATGGTTTTCGATTTGACCAGTGCTAATTTTGCATCAGCATAATTCCAAGAGGATGGTTTTGTACTACAGTCAAATGGGTTGATGCTCTTAACATTTTATTTTGGTTTTGTTGTTAATATCATTTAAATTCAACTTTTTGGGTTTTTGTAGTTCTAGATATCCCTGCAGTATACAATTTTTATTGTTTATAAAGACGAACTAAAACAGTTTGCAACTTCCATAATAATTCTTCGGGCATCATGACAAACCAAATCGATCAATAATGTTAGTTTATCAATAATCTAACAATTTCTTAATATTTTTCATCAGCAAGATACTAGAAGCGTGTACTCGATTGGTCCTACACGACTTTTCACTATGACTGATTAGTAGTATTGGAATCAATGAAGACTTTGAATTACCACATGTTGACAGTTGCATAATGCATTTGTTCCGTATTATAAATTTAATGCATTAATATTGTTATAATGTATGGTAGCCGCTGTAGGGCAAATGTGATCGATTTATAAATTTGTATACCTGATTTATAGTACGACTTCTCATACTCTGTGACAAAGTATAGTTAAGACCTTAGGATGTACCTTTTATTAAATTTACATATGGTCGATCATAAAAAAAAACAAAAAACAAATCTAAAGACTGGTATTTATTAAGCAAAAACAAAGTGAAAAAAACTAAATCGCGGCTGAAATGGGATGTCGGTTCGTGTAAAGTTTATGTTTGTCGGATCCACACGAACTATGATTTTTTCGAGTGTATATAACAAATGATTACCCTGTGGTTTGTTTTTTTTTTTATCATAAAAGCATGAGATGATTTTTCTACTCGCCGTTTACTCTCAATTTTATTTCCACACTTATAAATCAATCTGATCACAGAAAAAACAAAAATAAAAGAATATATTTTAGTTTTGTTGATTTTAGTTTACTTAGTCCATAGAAGTGACTGGGGGTATACAAATATGGTTACCCCACGTAAAATATTATGTCATGTGTTCGAACAGTGTGCCTCTGTACGCTAAAATAAACTCTGGTAGAGTTCGTAGTTGACCAGTTATGAGGGGAAATTTGAGCCCTAAATAGAATAAAAAACTCTTTTTCATGAAGCACTTTAAATGTCTTTTCCTTCATCCTTATCGACATACTTGTTTGGGCAATGTTTGATTAGTTCTTGTCCGTATCATTATTCTCTGTGTGAAATATTTGGCGCTGAACGTAAAGCAAACACGATCAAATTCATCAATTCAGTTAAGTTACGGCGAACTAAAAATTCTTTTAAAAAATGGTAAAGAGCAATATACAACTCTGAATATTACACTTATCAGTGCAATTTTAACAACATAAATATTAGTCTACATTAAATGGAAATGAACTTCGCACTTACACGTATTGCATCTATTAAAAATTGATGGTTAATCTTTAATTTATCAGATAAATCTTTACATGATTATTAGTTATTATTTAATAATTCCATACAAATTACAGGTCCATTTCAAATACACGAATTTCGCATAAAATCCGTTGAAATACGCATAAAATATTTATAGCCATTTTCATCAATATTAAAAGAAATTTGTACAATAAATGTATGTATCATACACCTGCTATTTAATTGAAAGTGGGAGATAGGTGGGATCTTCTTGAGTAGATTACAAGACTAGGCGGAGAGAGGAAATAATAGGTTTTGCAGACAGATACTGTCTTCGCGTAAAATAATCATTTTGCCACTTTAAATGCCGAATGGTTAGCTTTAATACCTATATCAGTAATTATATTTCATTCATTTGACAAGTTTTTTAACAAAAGTTTACAAACAATCCGTTAACTTTATTTACTTAGCAATCAGATTACATGTGCCATTTAATACTTAATGCCATTTTTCTGTATAAATATTGATCTAATATTACATTTGCAGGGATGTGTGGTATGACGGTCTGACCAACCACCGACAAAAACAGTGATTTAGCACACAGCCATTGCCTCAAGGTGTTATACTGATCAGTGTCTAATATTACACAATCATTAATTGGAATCATAAAAAAATGTCGGATTTTAGAAAGAGTTACAAATAGTCACATGAAAATTGTATTTCGTGAATTATTCAGATTGGATTTGAAAATGATTGGATGAAGAACAAAGTATGAAGCACTTTTGGACAGTATGGATGTTGTTAATAAATTTAGCTTTAAGTACATCAGATGTTGTGTATCATGTTCCGGAAGAACAGAGTGCAGGAATTTTCATAGGAAATATTGCATTCGATTCAAGCTTAAATGTTAATATGAGTGATGAGGATTTTCGGACGTTGAGATATAGTTTTTTGACTGGCGACAGTCAGGTGCGTTCGATGTTCACACTTAATCAGTCAACTGGGAATTTGTACACAACAGATAAAATCGACAGGGAAACAGTTTGTCAATATTTAGAATCATGCTTATTTTCATTTCAAACGGCAGCACAATCTACAATCAAAAGTTTCTTCAAGAAAATAACAGTCAACATTTTCATAGATGATATTAACGATCATTCACCTCGTTTTGATTCCACCAAAATCGACCTTGAAATAAGTGAGTCTGTTCTCGTTGGTACAGCATTTAACATTAACGGAGCAAAAGACCTAGATACCAGTCCAAGTTACTCCCTACAAAAACACATACTGGAACCAGATAATCTTCCATTTTCTCTAATATCAATCAAAAATTTAGATGGAACTTCTGTTGTAAGATTAATAGTCGGAGGGCCGTTAGACCGAGAAATTCGCAATTCATATCAACTCAAAATTATTGCCCAAGACGGTGGTCTTCCAATTCGAAGTGCTGAATTACATGTGAATGTGTCGATTCTTGATGAAAACGACAATGCACCAATGCTTAGCAATTCAATTTATAACGTTACAGTGAAAGAAGGAGTAAGTCCCGGCTATGTTGTATTGAAGTTACAGGCTTATGATCTTGATTTAGGGCGAAATGCAGAAGTTCGTTACGTTTTAAGCCCTGTTCAGTCTGACACTATTAAAAGCTTGTTTTCTGTCAATGCAACGTCAGGTGAACTTTATGTGCTTAGTTCTTTGTCTCACGGCACATACAAAATTATTGTAGAAGTTAGTGACATGGGTCAACAGCCTCTAACGACACAAACGCATGTTTTTGTAACGATCGAAGATACCGGAAACAATCCTCCAAAAATTCATGTAAATCTCCTGAGCGCTGGTGATGTGGCCAGTATATCAGAGGGTGCCACCATGGGACAAGCAGTGGCGCATATCGTCGTGGAAGATCATGATTCTGGAAATAATGGAATTGTAGCATGTTTACTGAATACCAAATATTTCAATTTACAAGGACTGGACATAAATGAGTTTAAAGTTATCGTAGTAGAGCCGCTCGACAGAGAAAAATCTCCCTCACACTTAATAACAGTGACTTGTCGTGATGCGGGGTATCCACCGCTCAGCTTCAGTCGAGCATTTTCAGTTGAAATTTTGGATGTAAATGACAATCCCCCTATTTTTAGTATGAATGTTTATTCTGCTTCCATAGCAGAAAATAATGCTGTCGGGGACTCCATAATTCAGGTTGTCGCAAATGACGATGATATTGATAAAAATGCACATGTTCGGTACATGATACCGCAAATCAACAGTTCTCTGGTTCAAATCGAATCAGAGACAGGTCTTGTTCGAACTAACGTTGTATTCGACAGGGAACTTATGCCAAATGGATTTACGTTTAGTGTAATCGCCTTCGATGGTGGCAGTCCTGCGCTCTACGGAACTGCAACTGTTTCGGTTAAAATAAATGATGTCAATGACCATACACCAGAATTCGCAGAGAATTTATTTATATTCATTGTTGAAGAAAACGTTAAGTTAGGCTCAAGGATTGGGAGCCTAACTGCATTTGATCGTGATGAAGGTGATAATGGGAAAGTAGTATTTTCCTCCGGAAGTGATACAATATCGTCACCGTTTGTACTCTACTCTGATGGTAAAATTAAAACAGCGAAACCTATAGATAGGGAAGTAACTAAATCGTATAACTTTACAGTAACAGCATCGGATCTAGGAAGTCCAGCACGCAGTAGTACAGCACGTATTAACATTTTCATCGCTGACCAAAATGATAATTCACCTATTCTCTTATTTCCAACGACAAATAATAAGACAGTTAGAATCCCAAAGACTGCTTTACCAGGTACTGTTGTTTCAAGGATACGTGCGGTCGATCCAGACGAAGGCATGAACGGATCACTTGAATACTTAATTGATAGCAGAAATGATTCCGGTGTTTTCCTTATATACCCACAATTAGGAGATATAGTTCTCCAGAAGAGTGTGGGACATCTATCTGGCAAGAAATTTATCTTGAGTTTGATCATTTCTGACCGAGGTATTCCGAAAATGTCTAGTTATGGCAATCTAGAAATTATAATCGGGAGGGAAGACACTTCCGGTCTGCAGACTAACATCGTGATTGTTGTTGCACTTGTCGGTGCTACAGTAATAACGTCAGCTTGTATAGTTGTCGCTATTTGTATCGTTCGAAGACTTGATTTTCATAGAAGAAATTCCAAAAATAAACAAATTGCTCAGGTTAGCAATTCTACAAATTCAAACAATGTGTTGATAAATGACAATGGTGCTACAGACGATCAGAATTCAGAAAATGAACGAAAAAAGAAGGAAGTTACTTTTGCTTTTCATGTTATTGATAACCCTCAAAATCAGATGAGATTTGAAACAAGAACCAACATCAATGGCCCTGTTGGAACTTATGGGGTGAGTATTAATTTAATTATTCAGGCTCAAGTTAATTTTCGGTTAAAATTGTATGATCTTCATATCTTCATTTCTGAATGGATCCTTTTAGGACATACACAACCATACAAATTACGTTACGTTATATAAAACACTCAAACATAAAACATAAGCAACACGACGGGTGTCACATGTGGAGCAGGATCTGCTTACCCTTCCGGAGCACCTGAGATCACCCCCAGTTTTTGGTGGGGTTTATGTTGCTTAGTCTTTAGTTTTCTATGTTGTGTCATCTGTACTATTATTTGTCTGTTTGTCTTTTTATTTTTGGCCATGGCGTTGTCAGTTTGTTTTCGATCTATGAGTTTGACTGTCCCTCTGGTATCTTTCGTCCCTCTTTTCCAAAAAACACCCACCTCAAAGTCCTCCTTCATTCATCAAAAGAGGATCAGCTAACGCAAGAAATGTCGCACAGCAGTGTAGCACCTATAATTTTGTAGATGGCATAATGACTGCAAGGCAAACTTTCTCAACCTTCCCCAAACAATGCTTTGTTTTCTATATATGACAGTCAATTGTTCAACTGGGGCGTCAAGTAAACATAACTCACTCAATTTTATCATTGATTGGGGGCGGGATTGGACTTCATATTGAGCATCTACACATGCATATGCACAAATATAATTTATTTTTATCACAAGTAATTGGAGTTAAATTTGGAATTGGATCTTTCATATAATACAAGTGAAGAAAACACCTACCTGATATAAAATGTCAGCGGTGTACATGGTGTATACCTTTAATAAATTGCAAAGTTAAAAGTATTCTCAAAATAAGCAAATATAAGCAAATATATCAAAGGTGTTTAAAATGTATATATATGGTGGCAATATCTATATTTCGTCTGAGCGGTACTGTAATATACGTTAGTTTGTTTTTGACCCTCTTGACAGCTCTGTGTCATAGTTTTGCGTTTTATTAGGCAAGGTCTGAAAGTCAGATAGTAAACAGACCACTTCATATCGCTTCGTCCGTCATTTTATCGTCAGTTGCCATCTGCATTAACAAGCATTTCATATTTCTGAAAGATGTTTGACACGTTTGTCATTCTCATGTGTGAAATCGATTTTCCAGATTATGATTTGGTATATACTACTTTACCAGATATTTTTTATGCATCGATCATTGACCAGAAAAGTAACAGCTAATTTTACAAGTGAAAATACCAGTTTTCTCGACGGGACGTCCAATCAGTAGAAATCTCTCACCACGTGGAATTAATTCTATAATGAAGAAAATTGTTTTCATTTCGGTCGTGTTTTATGCACTGAAAATTAAGTATTTATTTTGTTATCTTTGATTGGGAAGATGGTTGGAATAGATCACCTATTTGATCAATCAAAATTTGAGTATTTTTGATAAATAAACTATTATCAGACACATATGATGAACATCAATTCAGCGCAATTTGAACTGGGTCTAATCAAACATTTCATATCAAACCGGGAACAAGATAATTGAATTTGATAGATGCGTGCATTTTTACAATTTCTGACCGAACTTCCGTAATAAAATGCAGGTTTGATGAAAAGTCCTGTCTAAACAGACTGTTTTGAACCTTAAAGTTATCAAAACTGATAAAACTTAATCTAGTATGATTCTTAAATACGTGCTTTTCTAAATAATGTTTTTGCTTATCTCAGAACTATCTTTTCTCTATCTTTGAAATGTAGGATAAAGATCTATCAAAATGTATTTTCTGCCGAACTACAAAAGATTCCAAAAAACGTGTTTATAATTTCATCGACACAGGAAGACAGAACAATTCGTCTTATTCCAGTTTAATGCCAAAACTTTCTCAAAATATGTTTTAACGTCTTCTTTGTTTTGGACCATTTGTTCTCAAATTTGCATGATTAGGTATTCCAGTTTAGATTTGCCCCACATGTCTGTCCAAATTATAAATTAATCCCGCCTATTTCCTTCGCAAAAGAATGTGTAGTATTTCTAAAATAGAAACAAAAAGGATCTACAAATAACATGAATCAATGGAGGCTATATTCTTTCAGTTTCAAACTTCAGATTTAACATTGCAATCGAAGATCTTGTGAATTCAATTGACGATTTGTTGGGCTGTTTTTTGCACTTTGGTGTAGTTGTTGTCTCTTTGACACGTTCTCCATTTCCATTCTCAATTTTATACTTTATATTTTTTTAAATGTAAAATTTTTATATATTAAAATTCGTTTTATAAAACAAACAAATAACTCCGTATAGCATGAGTATCTACACTTTTGTTATTATACAAACAGATAAATTGTTTTTCAACAGCAATTTAAACGTACTGAACAATTACGAATAAAAGTGTTAACCCTGATATTAATTTATAGATACACAATGAAAAAAGCAAGAAAATCATTATTGTCAACACAAGTATTGGACATAAATGTGATTTAAATTTGTCAGAAACTTACTAAAATTGTCGACATATTGATTTGAATAAACCACATTTGTACTTTTATATACTGCCTATTCAAAGCTTTGAAATTCTTCTATGTTATCTTGGACCCAGAGGCAAAGGTTTATTTTTGATGGCGTAATACTTTTCAATTTGGAAAATATAATTTCGCGCCTGGACTGTAAAGATTTAATAACATTCGTCCATAAGATCTCTTTAAAATTTTGATATTTCTTTCAATTTATAATAAAATTCCCTCATTGCTTTGACAAAAAGCTAACCGAAAAATTAGAGTACAATATTCTATATCTGCATACATACAAATTGCACACGTTTTTATTTACAAAAAAAATCTTGAAATAAACAATATACATTGCAAAACTTTGGAAAAAGGAGATGCTGAAGCTGAAGGGTTGATTAGTATTAACGCTAAACAAATTCTTCAGACAAACACAACAACATCTTAAATTTTGGATTACGGTCCTAGTTTGCCACAAAGGATTTAAAACTTATGTGTGTATTGAAATTTTTGATCAGTAGGTTTAAAATTTCCCACAATTTAACATGTGAAAAGTCGAAAAATGTATTCGAAAGTATATTTTGAATGCATTTTGATTTTGAATAACGATATTGGAATTTTCAATGTTAAATAATCCTTTCCTCAAAATGGATATATAAATAAGACATTGACAAAATATTAAATTTTCAAAACGCATTAAACCAAGCTAAATTAGACAAATATGTACATATTTTTCACACTCAAATTATTTCTTTGTATTTTCGTTTTTAAACCGATTTATTTAGATAAAACTTTTACGTGACCATTACATAGATAAATCTGAGCTGCCCTCTTGATCTCCGTAAAATGTGGCATGTTGATCCGTATTTGATATGCTTATTAACTTGGCCGTTAGGTAGTTAGAAGTTAAACGATGACAAGACACCTACTTAACATTATAATATATACAAATGATAAAAGATGACTTATGGCTTTCTGAATTGTAAATTTAATCCTGTGAAATCCGTATCTGTTACATGATCTACAAAAATATTTTGGACTGTTTTATTCATCGCTTGTAGATGATATTCAAATTCGTTTTAAAACAGTGTAGGTGGGATTAAAGACGACCAGGAGTTTGAAGGACTTTGAATTCCTAAAATGCTCAATACAAAGTTTGGAACATTTTAACACATACATAAGACCAGGCTATTTCATGTGGAAACCTTAATATCAGGAAATATGGTGGATATAAAAGAATAAAAATCTTGCATCACACAAAAAATCGTCATAAACTTCAATGAGCTTACGAAAACAAACTGACAAAAATACCATTTAAAACAAGAATTCAAATAAAATATAAAATATTCTGGTAAGAAAAGCCACAACCATTCACCTGGTCGTAAGATAAGGCACAATAAAGTATAATATCTACTTTTAAATTTAATGGGCTATAATGGGCTGAGAAGTAGGAATTACTTGGACTTTTAAGTAATTAAATTCATTTTATGCATATGAGATTGAAGCTTTCGCCAATGTTGTCACGTTTTTTTTTTTTTTTTTGTCTTTTATAAATCATTCTGAGTTTCTTGATACTTTTAAGTTCACTTGCAAATTATAACAAGTTTATTTCTTGTAAGTTTCAAGTTGAATCAATATATTAGATTTCAAATGATTTTCGAAACTTATTTCCACATATAAAAAAATATATATCAGATCTCACTTATTTTTATTTTCGAACTCCTTAGAACACGATTGTGGTCTGAATGAAACGTAATAAGGGCTGTGTTTGGATATACGCCTAAGGCAGCCTCTGGTTAACCATAGGTACCTATGGTGATATTTTATAATAACAAAATATCAAACCATGGGTACCCACAGGTACCTATTGTCAACCAGAGGCTGCCTTGGGCGTATATCCAAACACAGCCAAGGTTCCGGGTAGAAAATAAATTAATCATGCGCACATAACTATTTTGACAGTTACATTGAACCTGAGGGTAAAGTCCTGGATCTAACGTTCTCTTATCCAAATATCGGCAATATTTCATGTACTTAAAACCAGATTGTTGCCCGGAAGACTTGTTATTAAAAGGCTTCGTTCTGATTTAGGTTAGATATGGCGGGAAAACAATACATTTTCCATGTGTCTTGGTTTAAACCATCAATTTCTTCTGATACAATCTTTTTTTGTTGTTTCCTTGAAAAATATTTTGAGCATTAACCATAGAATTCAAATGCATGAAACAAAATTACTTTAAAACAAGGACCAAATAATAGTCTTTGAACGAACAGAAGACAATGAAAGGACGATTTATAAAATCCAGCCTATATCTTCGTACTACTGTGGCCTCATTTTGCCACCTTTCTATTTATTTTCACTAACGAAAGATACACATTTCATAGAGATTATTGGTACCAAAACTTTTATTTCGGGCAAAACGGAAAAATGATGTTGAATTTAAGGTTCCTGTTTTTTATATTTATTTATGATGTTTTTTGTTTGTTTGACTTATGGACAACTGTTAAGATATCAGGAGTAAATAGAAAGCAAAGCTATCAATTGGGAACGACATTTTACTTTGATTTAACGGGAAATTTGCGATAAAAGGGTTTGAAATAATGAGCGTCAACTGATTATATTAATGAATACATAAATATAATTCATAAGTTGGGATTTGTGTAGTATAATATGAATTTTTTAATTTCAGGACACCCTTAACCAAAAAATATTAAGACATCAAGAAGACAATAATAGCGAGACATCAGGAGAAACAAACACAAGTGACAGTGGCAGGGGACTAAGTGACGATGAAATCAATTTACAAAAAGGTTTGTTCTGAACTATAAACAGCTAGTTTTTATACGACCGCAAAAAAATTTTTGTGGTCATATATTGGTATGACGTTGGCGTCGTCGTCGTTGTCGTCGTCGTCGTCGTCTTCGTCGTCCGAAGACACATTGGTTTTCGCACTCTAACTTTAGTTTAAGTGAATGGATCTCTATGAAATTTTACCACAAGGTTCAATACCACAAAAGGAAGGTTGGGATTGATTTTAGGGGTTATGGTACCAACAGTTAAGGAATTAGGGGCCAAAAATAAGCATTTTTGTAACTTCCAGACATAACTTGTGTGTTAGTGAATGGATCTCTCTGACATTGTACCACAAGGTTCCATATCACAAAAGGAATGCTGGGATTGATTTTGGGGGTAATTGCCTCAAAATTTTAGGAATTAGGGGCCAAAAAAGGGGCAAAAAACAAGCATTTTTCTAGTTTCATGACAATAACTTGTGTGTAAGTGTATGGATCTTTCTGAAATTGTACTACAAGGTTCCATATCACAAAGGGAAAGCTGGAATTGAGTTTGGGGGTAATTTATAAAAACGTTTAGGAATAAGGGGCCTAAAGGGGGCCAAAAATAAGCATTTTTTCTAGTTTCCAGACAATAACTTGTGTTCAAGTGTATGGATCTCTCTGAAATTGTACTGCAAGGTACCATACCACTAAAGGAAAGGCTGGGATTGATTTTGGGGGTAATTGCCTCAAATTTTAGGAATCAGGGGCCAAAAAGGGGGCAAAAAAACAAGCATTTTTCTAGTTTCAGGACAATAACTTGTGTGTAAGTGTATAGATCTTTATGAAATTGTACAAGAAGTTTCCATATCACAAAGGGAAAGCTGGGTTTGAGCTTGGGGGTAATTGCCCTAAATGTTTAGAAATTTGGGGCCAAAAAGGGGAAAAAAACAAGCATTTTTCTAATTTCCAGACAATAACTTGTGTTCAAGTGAACGGATCTCTCTGAAATTGTACTGCAAGGCACCATACATTGTAACACAAAGGGAAGGCTGGGATTGAGTTTTGGGGTGATGAATCATAAAAGGGTTCAAAAAATTTGTGGGGGGATTTTTTTTTTCCTTTTTTTTCTTTAAAATTTTCATTTTTAAATTGGTTATTTCTGATTTATATATAAAAGCAAATAATAATGATATGGTTTGAATAGGTATATTAAAAGAATTTTAAGTTCTTAGACCACATTCATTCTGTGTCAGAAACCTATGCTGTGTCAAATATTTAATCACAATCCAAATTCAGTGCTGTATCAAGCTTGAATGTTGTGTCCATACTTGCCCCAACAGTTCAGGGTTCGACCTCTGCGGTCGTATCAAGCTGCGCCCACCTCCATATATCATCACAAATATCAATAATATAAAAATAAGAAGATACGTTTTCATTGCCAATGAGACAACTATCCACCAGAGACCAAATAACGTAGAACTATAGATCACCGTATATCAATTTGATTTTCTTTGAAAATGAATTTAATACACTGCATAAATTTTACAAATCTTGGGAGTTTGAAATTAAAACCAAACCATGTGTATTGTTCTGAGAATAACTTTTATGATGGAACTTATATACGACAAGGCGAAACATGTGTGAACAGTAAGATGAGGAATGTATCATAGCTTGAAACTAGTATTTTATAAAAAGATATTTTAAATGACATCAGTATTTCAAGGTTTTGTCCTTTCTAAATAAGTGTCATATTGAGCTATGCTTACTTAAAGACGATTTAATCAACATCTTCCAAAAGTCACACCTCAGTAAACCAGCAATGCAATCAATAATATTGTACCAAAAAAACAGTCCTGCCAGATTTACTGTTGATCTTTTAATTTGATAAGCAATATCAAGCAGAGAAGATACAAAGACATTGATTAAAAAAGTGAAAAAAATGATGAAGTAGTTTTGTGATCTATTTATACTTCCAGATTTGCTATTATTTAAAGTGACTTCGATTGAAAAAATAAACATGAATAAGATATTGAAAGAAAGTTCTATTCAAGCTGACCCGGTGTCGATGATTTGTACAGTCGTTATGGTTCAGTAACCATAACAACTATGGCTCGATTATTCCCCTCTTTTTAGGGAAGGGGATCGAATTTTACATTAATTAGAGATTCTTCTTCCGACAGTTTTGCTTGTAACGATAGCACTTTAGTTTTCTGCTACGACACACCAAAGCTGGTAGACTGTTAGTCCTTGGGAAGTTGGAGTATCAGTCTTCCAGTCGTCAGTCTGTCGACACTGGTAACGATTTGATGAACATCATGTTTTGGCAACCTCTAAAGGACCCTACAATATTTTTAGTATTTTCCGCTCCATCAATTTAAGTAACATTGGACTATTTATGACTGTCAAATGTAGTTCTGTGTTCATGATGAACAAAACTATATAAAAAAACCATTTCGAATACAGTATTTGGTGCGTTGAACCTTCGTTTTGAAAGTTAATGACATTTGAGCGAGCATGCAAATGACTCGACTGGGAAAAGTATGAATAATTTGTTGATTGTAAGATTCTTACACAATGAAAACATATATAACTATATATTTCGTATTATAATATTTTCAGGGAAGGATCGGCGTAGACAAACAACCAACATCCATCTGCATCCTAACTTAAAGACGTCACATCCGTTTTTTCATGATGGTCGAGTACCTATATCGCCAATAGATCATCCAAAACGACTTAAATTTTCATTCGACCAAAATGCAACTCCTAGTCCAAATAAGGAGATGGAAATCATAGGAAATACATTTTACTATCATCCAAAATCACCGTCGTTTGAAGAGGATAGTGGATCTACTTCCGGTATACACACAATTGATGAAGATGTCCATAGTGTTCATTTCGCGAATAATGTCGTCTGATAGATAATCAAAATAATTCCAAAATGTATCTGTGATATATAAATTTATTCATAACTATTTCATTAATTTAACTAACAGTAACACAAACATATAGTTTCATTTGCTTTTGTCATAGTTTTATGAGGTTATCCGATTTCCACAGCAACTTGCGACAAAGAGCGTCCGTAATATGAAGAGGAAACGTGCAAACCACAAATCAAGTGCACGATTAAAAGACCAAACAGCTATCAGAAAAAAAAGAAGTAGATATACAAGGTATTAATTTATTTAAGCAAATTCAGAAGTACAATTGTGTTAACATACATCAAGCGATTGAAAATTGTTATTCATCTTTCTGTCGGACGACCCGCTAAAAAAACTATTATAGATAACCAGAAAACCAGAGACGTATAGTTCCATACTGTGTGTCTCCTAGAAAACTGAATTAATTACAATTCCTTGTACAATCTTATATCTTTACATTAATAAAGAAAGCAAAACAGATGGGAGAAACAGCAATACAAATCGACACAAATAAAGAAAAAAAAAACAAATATGATATATACATTTTATATTCCTAATACCATAATTTACACAACTTCTTACGCAATGAACAGCTTTACTGTGTGAATAAAAAGATGTGAGGTGTATACATTTTTGTTGATAACATACTGCTGGTGCATAACTATTGTTTACCAAGATTCATCGAATTTTGATATCCCTTATTTTTAAAGTAAATTTGCCTGTCTATTATTAATTTTTTAATCTACAACTATGTGCTGTCTTTTTATATATTTCAAAAGTCATTACAGTGCAACGTATTGTTTTATATATATTTTGTATTCAGTTTTCACCATCAGTCTGATATATTGAATCGACATTCTATTTTTAGAAATGATATTGACTTCATGTTACTAAAAATAGTAACATCTAGTCAATATCATTTCCAAAAATAGTAACATCGAGTCAATATCATTTTCAAACTTACACTATGATTTACATATGTAATATGTAGATTAAAGACTTTCACTCAGTCAATACGTTATATATGGACCTGTTAGATTATATTGAACCTCGGACTTCGTCCTCGGTCAATATCATCCGAACAGGTTCATATATAACGTATTGACCTCGTCAAAAGTCCATAATCGATAAATATATATTAAAAAGACTTCCTTTTTATTGCAGTTTTAAAGTTTGATGTACAGAAATTTTGATGCTGGACATTAACTAGATGATACCCAGACACCAAAGACACCAAAAACATCGAATGTGTTCATACCGTACAATGTGATGTTGATATATTTTATGGAAGTAGATATGTGTCTGTTGTAGTCACAACCCTGACAAGATCATGTTGGAAACTAGATTTACTAAGAAGCACCCTGTTTTTTTCATTATGGATAAAACTCAAGACTGGTGTTTTTTAATATGATATATGTTGAACTTGGTAATTGAATTCTTGGCTGAGTGTATTCAGTACAGAAACTACCTCTATGTACCTAAATACTCCTGTAACTGGTCTTCCCTCTCATACATAAGTATTAATACAATCTATGCAAAAGTTGTCAAGGTTTAAACACCTTCGTAATCCAAATCATTGTTTTAGTGTTCAATTTTGTGTTTCATCATTTATATTCCGTCCATGTCATTAAATTTATATGTCATTTTCATCATATGTTCTAATACCGTAATTGTTATGATTTTTTTTCAGTTATTGACAAATGATGTCCTTGTTCATCACCAAGTTATCTACTAGAATTATATGACCATACTGAAAATCACCGCTAGTGGTGATACATAGTGCACAACAATTATATCATTGCCTTGCAGTATTACTCAGAATATGTTATACTAGAAAACTTAAGTGGACTACAATCTAATTAAAATACAGATCATGTATACACACTTCTCTTACATGGGATCTTTATAACCGAAGTGTGGATGCAGGGTTTGTATTTCAATCAACTTGAAGTAGACCACGAATCACAGTTTCGTCATGACATTCATTTACACCGCTCTTAAACTTCAAAATTATCAAAATAAGCAGTATATTGCCTTTGTTTCAGACAGTCGATCTTTTATTGGCTTCAAAAAGTACGTTCAATAAATTGACAGTTTTGTGAGGTATTAAGTCACAGGGTAATGTTTGTATTTTGCAGTTCAAATGATTTTTTTTCTTTTGCATCAAGTGATATTAATTATCCTGGGACTCTTTTAATTGCCAGAGGACAGCAATTGATAAAGCAAAAACCGACACTGTATTAATCATACACAAATGGGAAGACTTCATCAATCTTCCCCGAGTTTCTTTGGACACAATATTAATCGCCACCGGAATAGGACAGATTTAATTTTCCTGTATTTCTCTATTGATTAACAGCTATTAGTCATGTCGAGTTTACATTGCTGACCCTTCGTACTTAAAACGGCGATAAAAAAGAACTGGAAGCAACAAAGATGAGTCAAAGTAAAGATTGGAACAATCTTGTCTTTTTGTATCGGTTTCCCTATCTTTGTGTGAAGATCATCGGATAGCATTATCTGGATGATATCATCTGTTGCTCACCTACATCAGGATGATATCATCTGGTGCTCACCTACATCAGGATGATATCATCTGTTGCTCACCTACATCAGAAATAAAATCGTTATGAGATATTGGATGGGTCTTTGTTTTGGAATAAAAAAAAAACAAATAACCTCGTTATAATTGTTTCGATAGAAATTTCTTGCTTAAATCTATACCGATTTCCGACATTTAAAAAACGCGGGATATAACGTATTGGTATAGTATTCCTGGTCTGTATATAAAGCCCGTGTCGATATTTTTTTTTTTTATTTTCGTAAAGGGAAATTAATGAAGTTGTTGCTTTAGATGTTAAAACGATTTCCAAGGGAACAACATGTTTTTTACATCATATTATTAGTCTCGGGTGATATTTTTAAGCATATCTGAGATGAGTTGCACTCATCTGACGGATACTCTTTCAATGACTGCGTTCAGCCTTCTACGTTCAACTAAAAAAATGATTTACAGACGAGTGTCGATAGTACCTAGAATTTTAAGTGTAAATTAAAGCCTTCTCTAATAAAACAAAAGAAAGATCGCCATACTGACTCCGTCATTTTTGTTGTTAGAAAGTATGAGCAAGTTCTGAAGTAAGGCAAATATATAAAGAGACGTTGATATTGTTTCGTACTTTTGTATGTTTTGTGTTGTTTCACATCGTTTTCTTAAATTATATTCTAACATTTTTCATGTCAAATTTAACATTAATATAAACTCAGCCAACACTAAATACTTGCCAAGGGCTGTGCAATATATATGTAACAAAATAATGAGATATTAATAAAATAATAAAGACATGATTTGTAAACTTTGTTGCCTCTTTACTGTTCTTGTAAAACATTACTATGAAAATCCCCATGGCGTCTATGGTATAAAATCTTCCACTATATAATTTCCTCTTGATTAGATAGAGCGATTTTTCTAATTATTTAAGTATACCACCACACAGATTTTAATTAAATGTGGGGGCAACGTGCAAAATTCTTCACGTTCAATTTGAACACCAAGAACAAATTATCAGCTATAAGACTACGAAATAATGTTTATAAAATCCCGTGTATTATATTTTGATGAAAAGTTTATATTTTATTAGAAAAGGATCAGTTAGTTGGAAAAAAAGCAAAGCCTCTCTCTGAAACAAAAGATAAATCTCTCTTTTCAGTGAGATTAGAGTTATCTCCCTTACAACTTTCCTAAGTTTATGGAACACGAAGGTCTATAAATGGTTTTGTCGTATGCAATGATATTCTTTTTTATATAATTAGTACTGTTCTGCTCATTAGAATATCAAAAGGTTGATGCAAGTTTTCACTGCGCTTCATAATTATGCACAGTTCAAAGAAAATCCCAGTAATTAGTATACTAATTTGTTGATTGAGATGGAATGTTTCTTCAACGTTGGCGCTTTTCATAGCTGCATAGCTTTCAAATGTTGTGTAACATAACAGGAAATAGTCATTCCGAGTCACTTGATTTCACTGCAGTGCTGTAAACTTGATACGGGTTTGTTTTTAATTGAAATTTAATTGCTGTACACATGATAAGGATCATTATACTTAATAAAGTAGATTCCAGATACGTGTACATGAAGCAACTTAAAAAAATGCAAACACATCAATCGCAATTTTAAATGTCTGTCCATAAGCTTATAACGTGTTTTTTTCTCTCTCTCCAAAATGTGACTGGAAGAATTTCAAAAAATCAATCGAAGCAAATTTTGTATTGTATGTTCTATTATGTACATTTTGATAGTCTTATGATTGCAATTACACAAATATTTAGCGTCTGTAACAAGTCAGGAATTGTGTCAATGGTTGTCTGATATCATTTTTTTAAATTCATTATTATTTCGAAAATATGGTGTTGGTGACAGATCTTTGATAGTCTCGGTTCAATTTATGTACGTCTTTTGTGGCGTTTTAGAGCTTGATATAAAAATAAAAAGATGAGATAGTATTGCCAATGAGACAACTTTCCACCAAATTACATAGCAGTTAGGTCACCCCATTTTGTATAGACACCTGTCTACCGATGAAGTCCGTATTTTGGCTATATTCGTCTTAAGACAGGTGTTTCGTTGATGTATAACTTTATTTGTATAAATCTATCTTATTGTGCATTATTAGTATACCCAACCGTTGAATGCCCCGCATTGAAAATGAGATATGTTTAATGTTTATGTTTTATATATACCTCGCATATCCTTTTTTGCATTGAATGCCTTACTGCGAATAACAGCCATCGTACGCTTTCCTTTGCTTTGGGATTTGTTATAATAACATTAACTGTACCAATTTTTCTGCACCAGATGCACATTTCGACAATAAATGTCTCTTCAGTGATGATCGAGGCCAAAATATTAGAAAATCCAAAGCTTATTAGAAAGATGAAGTGCATATAGGATTCATTCTATTTCAATGAGTATAAAAATAATGAGATATGGTATGATTGAAAACGAGACAACTATCATCCAAAGGACAAGGATGTGAACAACTACAGGTCACTGTGCGCTCTGACATGGGATAAATGTTTGTTAAACTAGAGCGTCACGATTTATTCCGTGATAACTTGATAACGTTCATGTCATTGAACCTATAAGTACTACGCTTTCTTTCAATAAAACTTGACTGGCAGGCATGAGACTATAATAAAAGTAAATTTTTCCGCCTATGACCTAATGCTACTCTCATTCTACATTTGAAAACTTAACCTTCACACGTAAAAAGAATTCCTATCATAATCGTATAATAATTTGTAAAATCTATATCTATTCTGCTGATCATATTTCCGCACAAGTTATCCACTTCAAATTAGTTTGAGATACTATCCATGGCTTTTTTTTTGGGGAGCAAAAAGTGAAAAGGTCTATACTAAATCGGCCGGCATGACAAATAACAGAAATCCGATAACCATAAAAAAATATCTCAGAAGGAGGCTGCTGTGCAATAAAACGGTTTTAACAGCATCGAAAACTTCCAAAAAATCCACCAAATGAGGACTTGTTCAGAAGATTAAAAGTCAACACATCCATGCGTAATTCAAAGCCAAATAAAAAAAAACACGTCTTAAATTGCAATGAACAAATTCATATCGTCACGATCGTATTCCTCACGACCATGCGACTAGGTTGGACGGTGAATCTGTTCTTTTCACTTCTAACTAATCAAGAGCATGACACCATGCAACCATAGCGACTACCTCAATTCTATCACCACGACAGTGCTCTTACAGATGAGAGGACATTCGATTTCCTTCTTCCGGGAACCGAAAAAAAGGCCTCACTGTGGCTGTGTTTGGATATACGCCTAAGGCAGCCTATGGTTACCCATAGGTATCTTTGGGTACCCATGGTTTGATATTTTGATATATAGAATATCAAACCAAAGGTACCTATGGATAACCATAGGCCACCTCTGGCGTATATCCAAACACAGCCTTTGACTTTGAGATGAAGAACAGCAATGGCTGTGTTTGGATATACGCCTAAGGCAGCCTATGGTTACCCATAGGTATCTTTGGGTACCAATGGTTTGATATTTTGATATAAAGAATATCAAACCAAAGGTACCTATGGATAACCATAGGCCACCTCTAGCGTATATCCAAACACAGCCAATAACAGAGCTGTTTTTTTGCTTTTTGTGTGTGTTTTTTTTTTTGCTGTGCATGTACTGATTTTGTGTCATGGATGGATACCCCATATCCTTTGTTTTCTATAATGTGTACTAAGTTTCAAGTTGATGTGAAAATGACTGAACTCATGGCGAACTATATTAAACCTAGGCTGTGTTTGGATATACGCCAGAGGTGGCCTATGGTTATCCATAGGTACCTTTGGTTTGATATTCTATATATCAAAATATCTAACCATGGGTACCAAAAGATACCTATGGGTAACCATATGCTGCCTTAGGCGTATATCCAAACACAGCCCATAACTATGGCTGTGTTTGGATATACGCCTAAGGCAGCCTATGGTTACCCTTAGGTATCTTTGGGTACCCCAGGTTTGATATTTTTATATATAGAATATCAAACCAAAGGTACCTATGGATAACCATAGGCCACCTCTGGCGTATATCCAAACACAGCCTATAACATATTACGAAAGACGAAAAGAAGAATGGACGTACGTACGTGAAGACTGGAAACCACACCAATATATCTTGTGATTCTGTGACAGCGAAACAAAATTCTTAATTTGTAATTATTTATTGTGTACGCACTGAACCACAATTTTCTTTGGTGATTTGACTGTTATTATGTGTCTTTTATGTTTACAATCATTCTTTTTTATACGTATTTATCAATGGATTGAAATGCTACCATCTAATGTAAAGATTTTTTTCTAGATGTAACGAAAATAGAAAAAAAAATACTGTTAGATGCAGATTTTCCAATCCTTTTTGCCTTTCATAACAAAGAAACAAGAATTAGGTAAGGGGTGTTGTAATAATTGCATTTTTTGGGTCATTATCAATACCATCAAGTACAGTTCTGAAAATATAATTAACACTTCTATACGACTGTAAAAATTATGTTTTATGTTTGACAAAAAGATCTTTGATTTGATTGCGATGAAAGATGCTTTATAACATAGCATTTTTGTAAAAACAAAGAAGTATATTGAAAGGCATTTATGTACAGAAATGAAAGACTGGAATTGAAAGACATCTATTTGTTACGAGAAAAGATATACTTGCTCGATTTGAAACTAAAATAAGTATGAAAATGAAAATTAGCTGCACTTTATTGTGTATAATTAAAAACAAAAGAAGTGTTAATTATATTTTGCAAAAGTATCACTCAACACAACCAATACGTGTGCATCCAACTTGAACAATTGACGCGACTGCGCTTGTTACTGGCTTCGCCATGCACAGTTTTTACAAATATGCTCACTTCACATGCAGATCATCTTGCAATACTACTCTTCCTACTTGTGCTCACTGTTAGAGATCTCTTTAGTGAAAAGGAAAATATAAGATCAAATATCCTGCAGCTTACTGAAACTTGTACGCAAAACTCTTAATACTGTTCAGTTAACTTTCAATACAACAAGAGCGACAGAAAGTAAGCCTTCTCCTTCCGCGCTACCCTTCGCCACTCTATCATGTCTCTTTGCACTTCCTCTTTTCTATATGTTTCTAAGAACCCTTCTGTTTTCGCTATTCTCGTGTCTCCCTCTTCTATTCTCATCTTTCTCCGTTCATTTTTATATCCTTTCTACCTTTCTTTCTCTTGGATTTCCCCAAACCTGACCATGCATGCTTACTGAATCAAATCTTATGTAAAATTATTAGTGAACCACGAGAGATCTCCCATGTCGGTTGTCAGCAATGACCATTTCGGTGTTTGTTGGTTTGTAAAAACCTCGAGTTCCTAAAAACTATATACGGTATACTTCTGAACATGGGATTAAATTACATATATCGAAAATTGGCCCAATTTTTGTTACTGCAAATAAATTTATTAGATTTTGATATAAAAATAAAAGAAAAAGTCATTCATTTCAATCGGAGGAAAAGAATGTATTGTCTTTTAGCAACAAATTAATTTGTTTTGTTTTTAAAATGATCTTTTATCAAAAACATAATAAAATTTGCTATATTGTATCAAATATAAAAAGAATATGTGGTAAGATTGCCAATGAGGCAACTATCCATCAGAGAATAAATGACGTGGATGTAAGCAGCTATAGGTCACTGTATATACGGCCTTCAACACTGAGCAAAATCGATACCATATAAAGTTTAAGCAATCAAAGGCCCCGACATGACAAAATGTAAAACAATACGAACGAGAAAA